CGTGTGTGTGTCCGAGGGGAAGTAGGTCAAGTCTCTGCAGGTCAGCGCGACTTTAAGCGCTGACTGAGGTATTGGATGACCTTGAGGCAGCTGGCGTTGAGCAATGACGCCGGACAAAGCAATAGAGGGCGTGGGACGACAGAGACCGCTACAGTTCGTCAGGTTATTGTGCCAGTGATTCTGTTGATGACAAAATACAAATGATCTTCCCCGTTTTCTTCCTTTGCAGGCCCTCTCGCCCTGGTCGCCCGTGCTTAATGCGCTCTGCCCCCTCACAGTCGCCCCCTCTCCCTCTTCATCCCACCGTCTTTCCGCTACAACAACGTGCAGGCAACGCTGGATCAGCTTGCTTTGGCTCACTGCGGCGGATACTTCCTGCAATGGATTCACCTGGCCGCAGCACCTCTTTGGATCCCAAGGCAGCCATTGGGTACACACAGTTGCCAGCTTAGCCTTGCTCTCCAACTGGCTGGCCTGGTTCTCGCGTATGGAGATTGCCGCGGTGTTGGGGCAGTCGAGGAAATCGATTTGCATCGTTTGTGAGGGCGTGGCTACTGCCTGTCTTCATCCAGCCAGTTGGGGTTGTGGTCAGGCGCCCCTTTTCGATGTTTGGCCCCTGTGGCTTGTCCGTCTCATGCTTCGGTCGTCATGTGGTCTTTTTGCCCGCCTCCGTGCCCCCGCTGAAACCAAAACTCGGTGCTACTTCCCACTCTCAGACACGGACGAGATTTGATTTCAGTCATGTATTTCTTCTTATTTTTCTTCTTCCAGCGTATTCTCCACTGTATATATATATATATATATATATATATATATATAATATATACGTCTGTTTATGACTTGGCTGCAGCGCCTTGCGTTGCCTTTCTTTCCTTTTCTCGTCCCTCACCAAGCCATGCTTCCCGTTCCTCTCTTTTGACACTTATTTTGCCTTTTCTACGGACGATTAAAGACCTTTTTCTGCTGAGGTTGCAGTCTTTTGCCCAACTTAAAAGTTATTTAAGTTGAGGTAGTGAGCATTTTGTGCTCTGACAATTGCAAACCTCTGCTTTTGGGACACTTGAATGTGACGTATGCGTAATCTCCTGCACGCCGACCCTGTCACCTGGTATGGTGTGCGTGTGCGTATATACTTAACGTATGCTTCCACTCTGTCTTCCTGGATGTTAACTGTCTCCCCTACTGACTGGGCTGACAAAACATTCGCTATATGCTCAGCGATTCAGACATGTGTGGCACGCGTAGAGGGTTTCTTACAATACTCGGTAAATGTTCACTGTGCAGGTCCTGTGCACTCTACTATCACTATAGACGAATTCACGTGCCAGTCAACGTTCCTGTACACAGCATGCTCGAGCCACACTGAACATCGTTGTACACAATGTAGGAACCGATATTAATCTTGGCTCTGTCATTTTACTTCGTAAGCGTAGACTTTATTTTTAACTACTCAGCCACCATACTCCATCTCACCTCCGGTCATTCTGACTTGGCTCTACCCCGGGTTCCGATTCATGAAGCCTGAATGGTAGTAGCAAAGGCTGTGTACGTCTACTATCACTGTAGACTAACTTCACGTGCAAGTCAACGTCCCTGTACCCACCATACTTGAGCCACATGGTGACCAGCTTTGTTTGCCTCGAACAGACTGACACCTTACTTGGATGTTGAACACGCTTCGGAACTGATTGGTTGAGGAAAGTAGCTTATATGTACTTGGCTTTGCTGAATCCACCCCGAATGGGTTGGATACTTTCCGGTTGGTCTTCTGTTGCAGTTATTTCGGTCTTATTTGCGTTTTAGGTTTCGCGCCGGCTTATGTCGGGGCTATGGCTTTTATTGTCCGTATCCTATCTTAAGACCGCAAACATTATCGTTCTCACCTATAAATAAGTCGATTTCATGGGTCATTTTGAGAGAAGAGAAAGGTCCTATCGAATTCTCATGTGAGGATTTAAGTAGCCTTTATTTGGGAGCCGACCTGGAACCTATCATCGGAGGGCAGGGTGAACAGATGTGAGGATGCCTTGAACATACGCTCTTTGCAGCATTAATTTGTTACGTCTGCCGCCCTAAACCAGGCCACGCGCAGATGTGCTGAAGCACAAGGGTGGACGGTCCCACCGCGACACGACAGGCAATAATGGGGCTGCGCACCGCTAACAAATGCCCCTTAGCGCAGCGTATGCTAGAACGCCTATGCGCAAATTAACATTGCGCCAGCTCGATCCCGTCTCCGGTCTTGTTTACACTCTCCTCACACTGCAGTTACCAAATTGCAAGCGTCACATTATAATATCTCGATGGAAGTATAATCCGAAAGTCGAATCTTCAGGAAACAGATTCCAGTATTGTCATAGAGAATATTTACGTTTGTGTCACTGAGGTGCTGCTACTAAAAACTGGATGAGGGATGAATTTAGTTGGTTTGTACTCTCCTTCGCATTTGGGGACCGCATAAGAAATTATGTTGGCTGTATAATGGTCTCAAATAATTGGGTAAAGGAGAGGAATGGTCGAACAGCGGAACGTTTTCTTTATTTCAGCTTTTTACTTTTGTTATTTATTGTTTTGAGCTTTCAAACTCGTACAGGAATTCATCCTCAGCGATAACAGCAGTGGCAACGCAAACCAGTAGGAGTACCTCGTGGGGCCGCCTGGGGGGAGCGCTGAGCGCGACCCTCGGTCTTACGGGCTCCTGATTTTAGGGGGGAGGGCGGGCGGGGCATGTCAGGGAGCAAATTAGATAGAAGTAATCCTGTAAAATAAGAAAGTTACGAGGTTGAGTTGGATCGCGTACTAAAACCTCGAGCGAGGACACTGAAGTACACATTAATGTCATCGCCAACCCACCACCGGACCAACGGCGAGCGCCTGTATGTCGGGCGAGTGCGCCCTAACCTCGGGCGAGGTCACTGAGGTACATTTTCTGGTAGTACCACTAACCCCAACAAGTGGAGAAAGGTGAAGATTTTAGAAATTGGACCTACTTAAATTTTGTAAGTAGGTGATTTTTCCGTGGTTAATTTAAAAAGCCATTTTTGTTTAGTAAACTGACTTAAGAGGTTATTGTATGCGGCAACCCTCCGAGGACCCCTCTGCAGTTCAACGCCACCATCCAGTCCCCGCTGGATCGACGGCTGGCGTAAAGAATACTGAAAGATTTTTGGATAATTCAACCTACTTAAAACTTGTAAGTAGGCGGCTATAATACATAAGGACCTTTCCAAGACCCCATGAGGAATCCTTACCGGCGAACCTTCACATTCTTTCGTTAAATAATTGGGTTGTGACGAGCCAAATGCAGCATACTTCCACATATCATCGCATAAAGCTAGACGCAGAAACCTGGAGCTCTTACCCTACTTTACTCCTACTTGTCTGAGCCAGTCTGTCTTCTATGGACTAGACGAGGTTGGATTTTAGTAGACGGAGCCATTGGACGGGCCGTGACGAGCATTCAACCTGCCAGCTCCTTTCGGGCTTGTGAACGAGTAACAATTAGGCTAGAGCTAGCGGGCCTCCCCTCAGTTCCCTAATAGCGATATCGATTATGTCGCATAGTACGTTCCCAGTTAGTTGCTGAATATTATAGGATACTTAACTGTGAACGATGAA